AAAAAAAAAAAAAGTTCTGCTCTTTACCCAACATTGTTTTTGCTTCCTCTTAAAATACCCTTACCCCCCTTTTTTGCTAATGTAGCTCTTAATTGGTTTTTTGTAATTAGTCCTATAACCTTTCCTCTTTAACTGGCGGGTTTGGTTTATTTGCAGGTTCTGGTACTGACATACCTGGTTTCCTTACCTTTGGTGGTATTTTCCTGAGCTATTTAACCCAGTTTTTCTTCCTCTTTTTTAAATGAGTAACACTCCTGACCTTTTAGGAAGACAGTCAGAGCCTATGGGGAAGGCTTTGTTCCTGCAAAACTGAAGCCTAAGCCAGAAAGACCAAATAGCCACAAGGCCCAAACCTGGCCACTAGGCTGTTGTCAGGCCCTGGTGAGGGCTTCCGCCCTGTTGCCCTTGTGGGGTGGGGACAAGAAGCTGACAGATAAGAGGTCTTGGTTAACCCCTGTTCAGGCCCTAGGCAGAGCCCTGCGTGCTGGTGCCATGGAAGCTGCAAGCTCTGCTCTTTACCTAAGAAAAGGAAGCACTACTGTGGGGAATGACTGAGGCCCCATCCACCCTCCCAGCACCCCTTCCCTCTGCCCTCCCTGGAACTGTAAATTACTCCCCACTGTGCCTTCTTCATTCCAAGTTTTCTGTTTACTCACAAATTTACAAGTCTTTTTACTTAACATTCTTGCACTTAGCTCTTTGCTCTGGGACTCTTGATTGGAAAGTATTCTATGTTCTAAATCGGGGTCCCAGGTCTTTTGAAAATTAATTGGCCTCTGAATAGAATTACTCCTCTCTTCTCTTCTTCTGGACCTGTGAACATGGTAAGCCTTTGTATCTTTTTATTTCTGTGCTGGTCTGTAAAGGAAATTAGTTACTGTCATTTAGTTTATTAATTTTTTTTGGTTTGCTTTGATTGAATTTTCTGTTACTTGGCCCATTTCAGATGCCCAGTCTGACACTGGCTTCTGTTTTGGTCCCAGCTTTAATTTCTTGACACTTCACAGGGTCCCTGAAGTTCTTGGGAGAAGATGAGCAAGTCCTTACCACTCACCCTCACTTCTGGGCAGTGGTTTCCTAGTGTGCGAGTTCTGGCTTGGGTAGGATGTTGGTTTTGTCCTGGGAGTTTATGTTCTCATGGGATCTTAGGGATAAGGAAAACAGTTTGCTTCTGCTTCGGCCAGGCATCCTCACACTTGGAAGGACTTTACCAGCTTGGGGTTCTCTGGACCATAGAGGAAGCTGACATGCAAACCCCAGATCTGGTGAGCACGGCTCCTCCTCTCCAGGTCTGTCTGCCCCACAGGAGTCTGTGGTCTCACTAGCGGCCTGCAGAAGTGTGTGCCTTTCCTGCTTCTGGTCAAAGGCTGCCTTGTGAGGACTGAGAAACATCCCAGGGCTGGTGAAAATGCCCCTACAACTAGAGGGCTGTGCCTGCCTGGAGAGGAGGCTGCTCCCTCTGTGCAGGTGCAGTGAAGCAGAACCTGCAGAGGGCTTCACTGAGGTGACTTGGGACAGGTTTGAGCCAGACTGTGCCACTCTGCTACATGGAATCGGCCTGAGGCCAGTGAAATACCCTGTTGAGTGTGTGTTGAACCTCTGTCTACAGAGCCCATGGGCAGCATGTCATCCATGGAGGTGAATGTGGACATGTTGGAGCAGATGGACCTCATGGACATCTCTGACCAGGAGGCCTTGGATGTCTTCCTGAATTCAGGTGGCGAGGAAAACACGCTGTCCCCTGGTCTAGGTAGGGGTCCACAAATTTGCATGAATGAAGCCAAGTCTTGCCAGCATTTCTTGCATTTGAGCAGATACCATGTAGAGATCTTTAAGCCCAACTCTCTCCTCACACCTGTGTCCCTCAGGGGCATCCTACTGTCTCCCCTCCTCGGCAAAAGGTTGATTCCATCTGTGGCTTTGTCTTTGTAAAGCTCCTGTCTTCCTCCAGCTGATGCTGGGTGGAATTGCACTGTACCAAGGCCCAGTGTGTCCTCGGAACTCCTCAGCCCTACACCCGTCAGACTCCATCTTGTGCCCTCCCGAAACTGTCCCCTGTTCAGCCAGCAAGTGTTTACTGAGGCATCACTTCAGCCAAGCCTGTAAATTGCTTCTGATACCTGAGAAAAAAAGAGCTAAGCTCAGACCACCTGGCACCACCTCAGAAAAGTCCCCACTGCTAGGCCCGACTTCTCATCTGTCTGGCACATTGGTGGTGGTGTCTTTCCAGGGAGGCAGTGGCCTGGGTGCGCGCAGGGACACTGGTGACAGGAAGCAAGGCTGGTCCTGTTCTGGGGGGCAGGGAGAGCCAGCAGCAGTAACTGCATGTCTTCCTCATTCCAGGAAGAACTTTAGTCCCCATGGCTGGAGAACAGCCATAAAGTCATCAGTTCCAGCTGTGGCTTCACACTGGGGTTAGGGTCACTTCCACACGGCCTGCAGCACTTGTCTGCAAACTGTTTCTGGATGTTACGGTTTCAAGGATGCTTTCAAAGATGCTTTCGAGGTGTCTGGTCAGGGGGGTCCCAGGCCCAGCCCCAGCCAGCTCAGGGCGCGTGCAGCTGCAGCAGGCACAGCTCCCGCCTGCAATCTTCTGCCAATTGATTTTTCCCCATTTTATTTCACAGGGCCTGAATCTGAAATGTGTCAGAATGAAATCACCCTTCAGGTTCCAAACCCCACCAAATTACCTCCCAAGCCACCTTCCTCCCCTTCTGCCTGCACCAATGCTGCAACCCAGGATGCTGAGAGTGGGGATGGCCCCCTAGTCCAGGCAGATGAGGAGGAGGTACAGGTGGACACTGCCCTGGCTACCTTCCACACTGATGGCAAGGTCGGGTCTGACAGCGACTCGAGTCAAGATGTTTGAGGGGAGCGGCCCTTGGTTTTACAGTTGCGGGTGACGTGTGAGAGCGGCTGAGAAGAGCTCACAATAAAGCTTGAGGACTCTAAACCCAGAGCGTTCGTCCCTGCTTTGTACACAGGCCGCACGGCCAGCGTAAGTAGGGGTTGTGCAGCGCGCAGGGACAGGGAACTCGGGTCACCTTCCCAGTGGCTGGTGAGGGTGGGCCAGGCACAGTGGATGTGCAGTGAAGCAGGAGCCCGGCCCCCTTCACGGGGAGAAGCCAAGCCCTGCCTCGGCAAATTGGGGGGTATTTGGGCTCACCCTGCCAGAGCTCGGGTTTCCACCTGACCCCGACCCCAGTACCAGCTGAACAGCCTTCGGTGACACCCAGCCCCTCCATCCACTCATCTTCCACAAGACAGACAAATGTCCAAAAAACTTTGTTTTTATTATTAAACCTTGTAGTACAAACCTGAAAAGTAAACAAAAAACTGGCAATAAACCACATGAAGTCTTCCCTCTCAAGGGAGGGGTGCAGAGCAGCGCTAATAAATTAAATGTCAAACTGTAAGCCATAGGCGGAAGTTTACTGTCAAAAAGAGGGAAAAGTACACAGCAAGGCCATAAAAACCGGACAACCACATTGGAAAACACTTGACTGTTTATGTAATTGTTAAATATTCCAAAACAGTTCAGTCTTCTGCAACAACAACCAACAAAGTGGATCCTAGGATGTTCCTGGCCGTCACCACCGGCAAGCTCAGTGCAACATGGGTAGCTACGGGGTCGATGAATCCAATTATGAAACAAAGAACAGCTTGTGAAAACAATTTCCCTTTTTTATTCCACACATACTATACACACAACCGGAGAAGGGCAACAGCTACTCCATTATTATTTTTTTGTTGTTGTTCAGTGATGTAAGCAGCACTTATAAATGTTACAAGAAAAACCCTGTAAGCATCCAATCCACCCGATGAAGAAACTGAAGTGTAAGGCTTTTCTTCATCTTGTCTTCTCACCCTCCCCTCCCCCCTCCAAGAAAAGGCTCAAGTATTTAAAACAATTTACAGGCGTATGTACAAAAGGGATGGGATATTTTTTCTTTTTTTCTTTTTTTTCTTTTTTTCTTTTTTTACTTTTTGTTACAACATGGACAGGAAAAATAGATAAGATGAGCGCAAATGCATTTTCACATTCAAAAAGAATTGCAGACCTAGTGGCTCTAAACGTGATCATAAACAAAACATTTTTAAAACAGATTAATGCTGACTTGTGAAGGTGTGAAACAAACAGTGAGATGAAGATGGAATGTTAGAAAGATTGCACGTCGATGACAAGAAGCACTTGCGGCTTCAATCACTTTTTTCCTTAAGGATGCTATTGAAGGGTTTTTTGATAAAAGTAGCCAACAGCACCAAAAAATAACAGAATGGATTTCCTAATGAAATCAGGCACAGGTCTCCGTCGGTGACCCTCCAAGCAGGCAGTCTGTCTCCGTCCTCCCGATGCATAGTGATTCAGCTGGTCATAAGAACCTGGTCACGCCAACCTCCGCCTTCAGCTGCCATAACTGCCCATGAACAAAAATGGGCCTCTCCGGTTTGAAAATACAAACTCATCTTGCACATGACAGAAGAAAAGACAGCCAAAGTAAAGCCATTTCTTTTCAAGTTTTCCTGTGTGTGTGTGTGTGTGTGTGTGTGTGTGTGTCTTCTATCCCTTTTCTGATCTAGAAAAATCTGCTCACATGACTTGATGAATTTAAAATTTGTTCTCCAAACTTCACCCTCTTCAAAAATGGGTTAAAAAGCCTTTTTTTCCCCAACAGATACAAAAAAACAAACAAACAAAAAAACAGAGGGCTTTTGTCAGCCATATGGGGCAATACAAATTAATACAGCCCCCCAAAGGGTTTTTAAAACAGTGAATATACGGCAGTTTCAAAAATTTGACTGCAGTGTCTAGGTATTCTAAGTACAAAAAAAAGTTCCAACAGTTTAATGCTAAAACAAAATTAGTTCTCTAAAACCAGAAGAAAATCTTCTTTAGAGCTAGTGCAAAGACAGCTTGTATCCTACAGCAAGTACTCCAAACTAGAATATAATAATTACAAAAAAATATATATAAATCGACCATGGGGTTGGCGTCTTCATGATGAGCTCGAAGCACTTTTGGAGGAACCAGAGGCTGACAGCCGGGATGGCGGCACGTCCACTGTTGCTCTTTTGCGGGGGCCTCGTTTTGGTGTGGGTTTACTGAGACAGTTCTCAATGCTGCCGTTCTTGCCAGATACTTTGCCACAGATCTGATTGACGAGACTGATGATCTGCTCCTGCCGGGGTTGAAGAAGACACAGAGTTAATGCAGCAAGGAACACCCTGAGGTAACCTGGGGTACAGGGAGGCCAGGCCCTGTCACCAAAGCCACAGCTGGCCTTTCCAGGAGTCCCTGGGCTTCTGAGCAGCAGCAGGCTTTTGATCTGGCAAGGACAGCTCTTCAGCCGGCACCCAAATGCTGTTCAGCAGGAAGAGGCCATCACAGCAATGAGCAGCCTCCCTGCTGGCTCTGAGGGCGAACGCATCAATGAGCTAGGACAGAAAACCTGAGTCCCACAGCTGCACCCAGAGCACTGACAGCTTCGTGAGAACAGTGCTCAGACTTGGTCTCCGCTTGGCAGAGACACTCGGTTCCTACACACAGGTGAGGCCCACGCTGCCAACCTCTTCTTGGGGCCACACAGCAGTGCAAACACTGCAGCCTTATGACCATCTGGACAGCAGCCAAGAACCCCAGCTCGGCTCACTGCCTCTCCACAGTGAGGCAAAGACGGCACCAACATGACACATGGCTTACCCTGGGCTCGCAAAAAATACACTTGTTGGTGTGTGGTACACACCTTAATCTAATCCAGCAGAGAGGCTGATGCAAGAGGATCATCCCAAGTTCAAGGTCAGCCTGAACTGCGTGTAGAGAGGCCCTGTCTCCAACAACAACGTGTAAACAATTGTTTGGCTACAGCAATCTCTAGTATTCCTCCCTCTGAAGTGAACAGGACACCAACACCTGCATGGCTGTCCTTTCCCCGAGAGAATCATTTACAACAAACTCATCCTTTACCCATCCATCCCCTTTAGAGCAGTGAAAGGGGAAGCAAAGTACACAAAGTCCCCAATTCAAGAAATAACCCCATACATTTTTACTCATCAAGACTAAGCATCAGAGCGCCAGCCTGCGTACTGTGTGACACCTCCAGGTGCCTGGCAGCGGAGCACCCAGCTGCAGCACAGCTGGTGGGGCGCTCTGCAGTGTCCTCATGAGGCTGGCCAATGCCAGCCTCCAGGGCCGTTCCTACTCAGGCTGAAAAGCTGTTTTTAAGCATATTCTGACATTTGCTACTAATGCCAAGAAACAATGGCAAAGGGCTGGTGCTGTCACTGAACACTAAATCAAAAGAGATCTAAGCAGACTTGTTTTTCAGCTCTCCCATCTTATTCTTGTCTTATCCTATCTTAGCCAAAGCCTTATCTGCCCTCCCTCCTACTCAAGAGAGCAGCCTGACATCCCTGGGGCAGACGCTCCAGCCCAGTGGGCTCAGCTGTGTGCTGGCCATGACAGTCACCTTCCATGGGGGACAAGCAAGGCTACGAGCAGGGCTGTGCTGCCAGGAGGTCAGGCCTTCGGGGCGGGCCCGGAGGCTCGTGGGCCCGCACAGGGCCAATGAGCAATGTCCAAAGCACAACAGCGCCTGGAGAAGGGGCTGGGCGGCCAGGAGCAGGGAGCGCCGTATGTTCCAGCACACGGCAGGGCAGCTTGGATGCACTGCACCATGCTCGAGTGGCTGCTGACCCATGCAGGGGGCTGGGGAGTTAAGGGTCCAGCCGTTCTGTCAGCTTCCCACTGGGGAAGGAGGCCAAGGACAGCAAAGACTGACAGCTGGCACCAGAGGGCCTCAGAGCGAGCAGGGACATCAACGAAGGGATGTGATATGTGAAGATCAAGCCCAGGAGAGCAGCTGGGCGCTAAATGGTGATGGTTCCATGAGGCAGAGCGGCAAGAACTGGGCAGATAGGGGTCTGTTTGGCAAGGACCACTGAATGAGAGGTTCAGAAGCAGACAGGCTCTGTGTCCACTGAGGTCCCCTAGGGAACAGCAGGGCAAGTGCCACGGCTGCCGTGAGAGCCGCCCTACTGCTGCCTGCAGGACGAGCTGCCCGGTGCTTGTGCCTAAGGACAAGGGATCTCAGAGGCTGGCACAGGGTGATCGGCGAGATGCAGAATAGAAAGGAGCCGCGGGAGCAGAGAGAAGCAGCCCCTCTGCAGGCAAGGGTCACCGTAGACTTGTGGACACTGGGGAGGACGACTCCAGGGTGAACAGGGAGTGAGCTCCCCCAAGAGCTGGCTCAGCTCAGAGTCACAGCCCATAAGAGGGGACAGTGACTTCGACAGTTACAGGCAAAGGAACGGGACAGACTCATCTCTTTATGTCGCAGACTGCAGGACACAAGCTGGAAAGGCCTCTCAAGGCAGCCCCAGCCACACAGCCCAGAGGGGCATGGGCCAATCCAGCAGGCAGTGCAGTCCCCGTCTTCCCTTAGTAACCTGCACAGGCCCTGAGGACAGCAGAAGCAGCACCTGTGAGCCCACAGCACAGCCCCTGCCTGTCTGTGGGAGCCCTGGTGGCCCTGTTGCTGGCCAAGAGGCTGCTGTAGGGGTCCTGCCCCCAGGGACTGGGCCAGCTTCTGCAGAAGTGGCTCTTCCCAGCCAGGAGGGTGCTGCTAGCTGCTTGAGGGGAGCAGCGCCGAAGCTTCCAAACCTGTGCACAACAGGGCACCGAGGAGGAGTGGCCTTTCTCGTGTCTGGGCCCCACCTGGGTCCTCAGGGGAGCAAATGCTGCCATGAAGGCCCAACAGTCACTTCCAGAAACTGGCAGTGGGGGTGTGGCAGGTGTGACCGCTAGGGCACAGCCACTGGCTGCCCAGAGTGGGAATGGACACTTGCCCCACACGGTGGCACTCAGGGCCCCTGCCACATGTCCACACAGCCAAGCAGCTCGTGCTCAGGAGGCAAAGCTACTCTGTGACAAGAGGAGAGATTCTGGCTAGAGGTGGCATGGATG